TACATATAGAAAATAGTGTGATATAGGTAGACCCTTATAATTCTTCACTTAATTATGGTCAAATCATTCTTGTTTAGCCTAAGAAAGCTAAGATCATTCTTACCTTTATACTAGTGAAGCCAAACTATGGTACTTGTTCATGTAGGAGAAGTTCTAGTTTGGGCTTTAAAGTTCTAGTTTGCCAAATGGTCATATAAGCAAGTGTGTTATATCTCCCAATAGACCATGATGATGAACAACCCAAAGTTTTCAGGGGCTTAAACTTGCAAAGCTGATATCTGGAATATCTGGATCAGCCACAGGAGCAAATGCACATCACTCTGTGCATGAAGGATTTAAAAGATTTTTATTGATTATGAACTCACAAAAGCAGCTCATCACAGAAAAATAATAATAAAACAGACTAGTAAGTAAGTAACATGCATGAAGATGAGGTCAAAGTCCAACTGGATTGGATGTCATTCTTTTTTTTTTTTACTATGGCAAGTTGGCAACAAACAAACGGATTGAAAATTTCGAAGGGTAAAACAATTCGTCACGGATATGAATATGATTAGGTAAAGAGTAAATTCATAAAATTCTCCAGTCCAATAAAAGAAAACAAAAAAGCCCTATAAAAAACTCCAAGCTGCATATACTTTAAAAAGGTTTTCTGATATCTTATCGTTTTTTATGGTCCTTCCTTACCAACCATGGATGACCATCCAATCCAATTATTCCAATGGGTCAACTTGACTGCCATAATAATGTGGTTTGTACGTGACTATCTGTCTTCACATTGACTATCAAATGACAATAAGAAGAGTATAGTTATCCAAACTTGTTTTGAGCTTTAGTTATGAATAATGAAATGATATCATGATATCACATGGCTAAATAAATCTTAATTTTTTAAAATAAATGAGATTCTTAATGATTTAAATAAACATTAACATTTTTCGCATTATTGAGTACGAAGATTACAAGTTGAATGCCATCGAGAATTCAATTATAATTCATGAGTCGAAAAACTTCACTTGAATTATAAACTCGTGAGGCACGAAGATGAGTGATTAATTATAAACATAAGAAGATGACCATGTTAATTAATTGACCAAAAAATTGTTAACCGTATAGGTTGCTCCATCTTTATGAGGCTATGGTCTTCAATTATTCATTAAGAAACTAACTTTATGAATTCAATTGCAATGGATTAGGCAGCTTTCAACAAAAGCTTCAACTTGCATGGAAAATATTTTTAATAAATAATAAATAAACAGAAAAACGAAGACTTTACCATCAACTTGTAGTAGTGGATCAACAATATAATCATATCTACAGACAGAGACAGCCAATATTATGCGAGAGAGTAGGTTTCAAGGAAGCTTGCGTATCATTAAATAATTAAGATCTAAATCGCCATGCAGCTAAATGAAGAGCATTATATAATTTTATCTAGAAGGCTTAGCCGCCTGGCTATATATCAGTTGAACCATTTCTTGGGCTCTTTGCTATCAAGAACATAATTGATCTTCACACAGATACTGATTTTATAAAAGAGAGATTTCGATTTAAATTAAACAAGGTTGTCTTTAATTTGAATCCGAAAAATGTCGACGGACTTGGTAAAGAGAAAGATGGTGACAGTGTTGAGCATTGATGGAGGTGGCATTAGAGGCATAATTCCCAGCACCATCCTGGCCTTTCTTGAATCCAAGCTTCAGGTACGTACTACATTACATAAATTTTTTCTATATATATGTATAGCCTTCACTTCCATCATTTATATTTGCTTGAATGATAATTTAGTGGTATGATTTGTACCTGGTATAGCAATTGGATGGCCCCGATGCAAGAATTGCAGATTATTTCGACATAATTGCCGGAACAAGCACCGGAGGTCTTGTCACCACCATGCTTACAGCTCCCAACAAGGACAACCGACCCATGTATGAAGCCAAGGACATCAATAAATTCTATCTAGACCAGAGTCCTAAGATTTTTCCTCAGAGCAGGTCAGTGCTCTATAACATAACAACAACTAATCAAATCAAGGGGAAAAAATTGGTTGGTACGCACCGAGTATCAATTCCCAGAGATACTGTAGATTAGTTAACCGGTATGCTTAAAGGAATTTACAAGTTCTAAAGGTTAAGTTGACTTGGAATTTGCAGTGGAAATAACTTATTGAGATCAATAAAAAGTATGGTTGACGAGGTAAAGGGGCCAAAATATGATGGGAAGTACCTGCGCACATTGACTCATGGGCTGCTTGGTGAGCTCACTCTAAAACAGACTCTAACCAATGTGGTTATACCAGCTTTTGATATCAAGTACCTTCAGCCTGTGGTCTTCTCAACCATTGATGTAAGACAACAAGCCATAGTTTTTTTTTTCACTCTTCAAATATTTTGGGAATTTTTGGTAATTGACTTAAATTTATGTTACAGGCAAAAGAAAGTAGTTTGAAGAATGCCAAGCTTTCGGACGTCTGCGTCAGTACCTCTGCAGCTCCCACTTTTCTCCCGGCACACTACTTCGAGGTCAAGGATGACGTGGGAAGGACTCGCACTTTTAATCTTGTTGATGGTGGGGTTGCCGCTAACAATCCTGTAAGTAGTTTGGTAATGTTCACTTACCAGATAATATCTAACATATTATGTTTATTCAGCATACCGATATAGGAACATAACATACCAAATTGTCTGAGAAAAGGGCGTAAAATGTCTTTTGTGTCCAATAAAATGCACTAAGGAATTAATTAATTTAATCTACAACCATGTACAGACAATGATGGCCATAAGCCACATAAACAGAGAGATGTTGAAGCACAACTCAGATCCGATTGATGTGACGAGGTTGCAGGTGCTATCATTGGGCACAGGTGCAGCCAAGCTTGAAGAGAAGTACAGTGCAGCCATAGCCTCCAAATGGGGTTTGATCAATTGGCTGTTTCACAATGGGAGCACACCTTTGGTAGACATGTTTGCCGATGCAAGTTCTGATATGGTTGACTTTCATGTGTCCACCCTCTTCCAATGCCTCCAGGCCAACGACAACTATCTACGTATTCAGGTATGATTCTAGACCGAGCACAACTACATAATCAGTAAATATGGCACAAATAACAACATTTTGTTGACGCATGATGCTAAATAGTTTTCTAATGATGTGAAAATTGCAGGATGACTCGTTGACCGGCGACGAAGCGTCGCTTGATATTGCAACAGAGAAGAATCTAAGGAGGCTTGTGGAGATTGGAAATGCACTGTTGAAGAAGCCAGTGTCACGGGTGCAATTGGATACTGGAAAGTATGAGCAATGTGTAGGAGAGGGCACCTATGAAGATGCTCTGATCAAGTTTGCTAAAACGATCTCAGAGGGAAGGAAGCTCAGATAAAATAAAACAATAGATTGCTTGAAATGTCTTCATTAATTTTGTTATTTTCTCTGTCATGATCCTCAATCCAAAAATAAAGAATTACTACCCAGATGGGTTTCATTTCCTGCTTGGCTTATTATGTTTTTTTTTTTATCAAACGATTTTTGAAGAGGATTAATTCAAACTCAGTACCTCGATGAAGGAAGAAATGCCAACTGCTGCTTAAGCTACAAACCCCTCACCATTCCTAGTTGGCTTTGTATCTCATATTTGGTTAATGATATAAAAACATGAGAACAATTCTAAGCCAAAAGGGATTTTTGATATATAACAGACGACAAGAGATTCATTTTAAGCACATAGTGCCGCACACTTTCCACCCAAAACTAATATGTAGGACATTACTTCACCTAAAGACCCGTTAACAACAAAGCATACCTTGGAATATCAATTTTGAATCTGCCAGTAAGGCATCTGTAATATTAAAACGAGGATTGATTGGAATTTCCGCCAAACATAAACATTCACAACTTAAATAAAGCAGAAGAAACAACCTAACAAAGTACAAAACATGGAAATTGCTGCTATATAAGCAGATAATGAAGGCAAATGGAGCAAATTAGGCAGAATTTCCCAAAACTTGCAAGTGCAAAGAGCAAATGGAGTTGCACGATGAGCTACAAGAGCAAAGCTACTCGCACAAATCACGAGAGTGGGATGAAAGCCGTCACAAAGCATTGGGGTCTAAGATGGCAGAACTGCTTAAGACCAAGGAAGAACTCAAAAAAGCTAAAGAGAGCACCATGCAGGCATGGATAAACTCCAGGCCTCTCATTGACGAGCTCGAAATGGTGAAGTCTGGCCTTGCAAGTGCTGAAAACCAATGTACTACACCCAATATCATCTCAGACCTTGAATCACAGCTTGAGACGACCAGCATACGCATCAGATCCAAAAGGGAAGAAGAACACAAGGCCACAAAGATGATCGATGAAATAAATCAGGCTTCGGATCAAATGTGCCAAGAGATTGAAAAGTTTAAGCGGGATACAGATGAAGAACGACAAGCAAAACCACGATTGAAACAAGCCTTGCATCTGAGGAGACAGACTCTGCAGACACTGCAACTTGGACTTCGAGCTGTACAAATAGAAAAAGAAGCTCTTGGTGCATCGGCAGCAGAAGCACTTCAATACATAAACTGTTCAGAAATGGAGAAAACCACCATCCACCTCACTCTGGAAGACTACCATGCCTTGACAAAAAGAGCAGAAGATGAAAATTCTCTTTCAGAGTGGCGTGTTTCAGTTGCATTAGAACAGAAGCTTGCAACTGAGACAAGCCGAAACAAAGCTTTGGCAAAATTGAACAGACTCTACTCTCAGAAAAGATCAAGAGGAAGGGAAATTAAAGAAGAAATTATAAGTGGAGATGGACACAATGGAGATCCCAGAATCAGGACGGGAGACCAAGTGGACACCAGACAGAATATGCTCCCCCAAGCTCGGAACAAAGCAATAGCCAAGCCAAATCAGCAGAAACCACAGAAACAGAGATCGAGAAGCAATAACAATAAGAAGTGGTCAGCTAAAAGAAAACCATCTGTATTGCAACAAATAAGACATTTTTTTGTAAGAAAGATAAAAAGGCTGTTTGGATAATTTCATACAAATTCAGAGAGTAGCTAGCCAGTGTTGAACAGCAATAAAGTGGTACATGCTAGTCTAACAAAAGGTGAATGCACTCGGAACAAAATTTGATTGAAGCTAGAGTATTCTGAGTTTTCCTCAAGTATTGTGCTAGTTGTGTTGCTTTTCCTACAAAGCCTGAAACAAGAACAAACTTGATTAAAAGCCAAGCAAAGATATCAACCTATTTCAAAATTGGTTTTGATCTGAGTGTCTCGACTATAAACATCAACAAATGATCAGATAGATATAATCACAAAGAAAGTGAATAATCTTCCAGAAGGAAAAACGTATCCTATCTTGAATTTGACAAACATTAAGGGTTGCATACAAGAGTCTGACCATTTACGGTATGACAAAGGGTTAAAAGATTGATACCTGATATTTCCTAAGGCCAATTAAGACTGCAGACAGAATCGCTTTAACCAGTTGGCTATGACTTAGCAAGTGCCAAAGGGATCCAAAATCATCCATACTATATGCAGCCTCTACATAGCACGAACAAAAAGTCAGTCCAAAACATGGATAATAGCAAAGCAATATTGATATTTTAAAACTTACCATGTGACTGCCTTCATCAGTGAAACATTCTAGAATATGATTTCTTTTCTTGCTCAGACCTATCAGCAACCTGTGAAAATGTTTAACTCTCAAATCTCTGAAAGGATATAAAACAAGCATCCACTGTTTGGCAAGAAAATCTTATACGCATAAAGCTCACTAACCTTCCTTTTAGCAACCAGAAGCTCTTTCTTAATTCCTCCTGAAAAATAGAAAGCACGATCAAAGGTCAGGAATCTATCATTTGATAGTCTGATGTCTCTAGTTGGTCATCAACTCTCAAAACATAGAGGTTTAATTATTCACAGAACCTAGTTATAACTTATAAGAGTTAATATTCAAAATCCAAACACTGTCAAGTTCATGTCCATGTGAGGTTTCCACATGACATCCCACTAAATCTGGTTTGCTGTTGGGAAAAAAATGTGTCACTTATACTTAACAAAAATTCTCAAAAAACACATAAAGGATTTGAAGGATGGGCGTAATAATCCTGTAACTGCTCTCTGATCTCAGAAATCCCCTTGGACACTGTCTACAATTTCTCACAAAGACCAACTTTTACAATTCCAAGAAATAAAAAGCTATTTTACAAATGATCCTCTTTTTCTATATTAAGTTATGTAAATTATCTCACACTACTGACCATCATTTGGTTCCAATTCCAGGGCCTTCTTGAAGCTTTCGACTCCAGAGTCGATGTCATTAAGTGCCATATAGGCCTGCAGCCAGCAAGATGCATAGAAGTAAGATGAGAAACAGCAGCCAGCAACTATTATGCAGACTTGCCAATTAAAGATTAATACCTGGCCTTGGCGAAACAAAGCCTTCACATTGGCTTCCCAATCACGCAATGCGAAGTCTGAGTCCAACAATGCTCCATCTAGGTCTCCTAATTTCAGTCTACAAGCCTGAACAGAAAACCCACTTCTTAATCAATCAGATAATAGGAAATGCCTTTCTTTTTAGTTGATACCAGTAAAAACAAAGTACAAGAAACAATACACAATACTTCTGAGCACAATCAAGTTAGCATTCAGAAAAGTATTAACGCTGAAGAAAACCAAGCCTATCTATCATATTCATAGTTAAGCTATCTTCTAAGTATCACTCATCATCACAGACTCTTCACATTAACACAAGGGTGAACTTTAAAGATTGCCATTATTTTCCATCACTTGATGTATTCGAGCGTCATTAGGGAACATGTAACCAGCACAAGTGCTTTTCGTGTTTCATAAATCAAGAGCCATAAAGTACTCACATTAAGTTATGGCTTTCATTTCATTAGGATCATCAGAAATCATGCCCTATATGGATAAATTGGATAATTGAGCACTAAATTTTGTATGGAGTTCACATGACACCGCGTCAAGGCAGAATCTCCATTCTAATAAAAAAGAATTGGGGGGCCTACACAGCCAGCTTTGCATGTACTCAATATGCAGTCCTATAACTGGACAAAAGACACCTAAATCATAACAAATTCTTCAAAATTGAAAGTCATAGTTGATGGAAACACACAACGTCCAGCTTGGGTCCTTCATGGGACCCAACAGCTATAGACTTCCTAGTTAGAAGAGTAAATGAGAGACTCACTCAGAATGACTGCACACCGTGCACATCCCAAAGACTTCTTACCAACTGCAGAGAAGCTAAATGACACTAAAAAGGAGAGAATCAATGATTCCAACATTGACAGATGCGTAGTGGCATAGCTGGAAGTTGCAAGACTAGTAGCAGTACTGAAGATAGAAATAGAATGTATAGGTAAAATTTAAATTGATTTTCTTGAAAATGATGCAGGAATAAGAAATATGGATGGTCAATAATCACAACCAAAAAAATATATGATTGTTCAATGCGAAGATATCCATAAACAACAAGGTCAAGGAGGGGAGGGAAACTCAGAAGCATTAGTTTTTGGTCCATCAGGCTACTGAATATATGATTAACTTACTGTTACACAAGTTCCATGTCAATAATTATCATTCATAAATGAGAAATTTCTGAATAAAGATAGTTCAGCAAATTGGCATTACAGTCCTTAACTAAAGATCTTGGTTTACTTATCAAAAGATATCACTTTTGTTTTCATTTCAAGAAGATTTCCTAGAGATTTCATCTAACATCCAGTGATTTTATCATTTGACAAATGAAAATTCTTACTGAGCTATTAGTAAATATCTGAGACTTTGTCTTCCGCAAAGAGGAGCTTGTCTCTGTAAAATCACAAAACATAAAGTCATCAAATGATGAAAGCAAGTAGTGACACTCTATCGCGCAAAGCAAATGGTTCACCTTCATCGATATCTTCCAGCTCCCAGCATACATCCAAGTAGCGCAAAGCCTTGCGATACTTTCTGAGGGCCATCTTAAAGTCTTGTTTCTGTACGTAAAAGTAAACAAATAGCAAGAACAAGAACAAAGGTCATACAATAGTAGTAAATGAAAAGTGCAGCATACTTAGGAAAAGACATGTTTTACCATAGTAGTGAAATGAAATGAGATACCTCATTACCTTGAACTGCTCATTTCCAAGGGCCTTAATAGAGTCCACGGCCATGACCCACCAAGAAATTGCCTCTGGTTTTGCATCAAGGTCAGCAGGCCAATCAGGATAGACATCACCATCTTTGAAGATGTTACACAGCCCATCATCTGCACCCTCCGGAAGTTGCCCACAATCCGCAATAACAACTTGTTGGGTAGGAAAGTGATCGTCTATAGTGGACACATGCTCAATGGAACGAACCACACCCATGCCTTTGATCACCCTCCCAAACACAACATGCTTACCATCAAGATGACAAGTCCGAGTGGTGGTGATAAAAAACTGAGAGCCATTGGTGTCAGGGCCTAAATTGGCCATGGACAACATTCCTTTTCTCTCATGCTTTACATCAAAGTTTTCATCTTCAAACTTCAAACCGTAAATGGACTCTCCTCCTTTGCCATTTTCAGCCGAAATGTCCCCACCTTGTATCATAAAACCTTTGATAATGCGGTGGAAACAACCACCCTGTAACCCAATGTAATGTAAAATCACAAATTCTAGTACATGCACAAAGAAATCAAATAAAAAACCCACAACCCAAAAACAAAAAAGATTGAAACTTTAAAGAGAGAGAGAGAGAGAGAGAGAGAGAGAGAGAGAGGGAGGACCTTGTAGTGAAGAGGAACATTGGTGTTAGGGCCAATACCCATCTCACCAGTACAAAGAGCTCTGAAATTCTCAGCTGTTCTGGGCACAATGTCATTGTAGAGCTCCACTACTATTCTTCCTTCAAGCTCTCCTCCAATGGTTATGTCCAAGTAGCACCTTGGCCTCACCATTTGTGTATGAGCAGTGTACAACTCAGAAGAAAAATAAAAAATTGGAAAAGAGAAAAAGAAAACCCTAATCCCGCTTTATAAATTTTGAACTGGTCCGAGCTCGCCGCGACTCGCTGACTCAGCAACTCAGTAACTCAGTGAGAACACTGACCAGGTCCCCTTCACAGTCCAGTCACGGTCTACCTAACTGTCTGGCTGGGCTCTACTCTACAGTAGCCATGCCGTAATGTCTCTATCTCGTTGAGTCATGAGCGGCTAGTGCTAAAGTGCGCGGCGTGCGCTTTGGTTTGTCTCTATATGTTGGGGGTTTTGGTAGAGTGTTGCGGAGGTGTACGTGGTGCTAAGATATGGAGGGACACTGACTCCCAGGCCAGGGTAAATTTTGGTTTGCAGGAGAGAGAGAGGTCAGAGTACAACTTTACAAGGGTATTCTTGGAAAGTAGCGAGATTTGACTGATGGGACCGGGTGGAGTGGACAAGGAAAATATTTGAGTGTACCCGATTGTATATAATTATGAATTTTCGTATCGACCATGACTAATCATGTAATGGGCAAATAGTCACCTAATCTCCTATCCTAAGTCACATTCATAGCCAAAAACAATAGCTACAAACGAACCAAGTCGATTAGTGTCACTTCAGCGTCTTCAAGTTGTTGGTTTTTTCATCCGGAGAGTGTCCCCCGCCAGTGAGATTTATAATCAAAAATGAGAAAATTGCAAACTAGAACGATTTGATTCGGTTTAGAATGGTTTAACTTTAATTTTGATAAAAAACCAAACCAGATCGCCCGGTTTAATTTGGATCGTCAATTAGGCTTTTTTTTCTTCTATTTTTGGCGCCTAGGCCTAGTTTTACATCGCTAACATGTTACTATGATACGGCAAATTAATAATTCACACATGATCATTTTTAGTGAGATTCATATCATTTTAATTTGAGATGTTGTAAAATCAACATACATACATCATTCATGTACTGACCAACAATAACTATATGTCTTTATCAGTCCCCTTCTATTGAGGGTCTCATCAAATAATTTTATTTGAGAGACGCCCTTCAAGATACCATACAAATTTATTTTCAATGATCCAAACCATTCATTTTTTAGGTCTTTATTCATAGATCATCCTTGCTAAAAAATTGTGAGAACCTGAAAAAATAAAAAATAAAAAATATATAATTATTCATACTACATATTAATTATTTATTAATATGAATTTTTCCTATTTAAATATTTATTGTGAAGATTTATATGTTATTAAATCTTGAGTCTAGTATGAGATTATCCCTTTAGTTGAAAGATGACACCATTCTTGTTATCCATGTGTAGAGACTTAGAATTGGTTTTAATCAAACCATCATCCTCCCATTCTTCCCCCTTTCCCTCTTACTTTCTCTTCAAAAAATATGATTTTTATCCTAAATTGGGATGAGTTGTTCATCTATTGGAGTTGAGTCACCTAGTCTAAAGTTTGTGAGTCACCTAGCCTAAGATTCTTTCTTATTCTCTTCCTCCCCATTCATTGTATCAACACTCTTCTAACTTGATGACTCACATTATTCCCTTCCTCTTATTTTATCTTTTGGTGGTGGTGTTGTGATATCATTGGGCAAAGGGGATGAGTCACATTATTCCCTTAATTTTATGTCTTATATTTTGGCCCTTAATTTTATATCTTATCTTTTGGTGGTTTAAAATATTGTATATATAAATATTATTTGGGTGCATGCATATCCTCTCCTATAAATATCATGCTTCCTTACTTCAATCCTTCATTCCAATCCTTTATTATAGATTTCTACCATGAAGTAGTGAGAGAGAGAGAGAGAGAGAGAGAAGGAAGAAAAAGAAACAAGATGAAGAGCATGTGTGTTTGTCTTGCAATATTTCATACTTATCTTGGTGAGTGGGTTATGTAATGTGTTCTAAAAGTTCTTATTTTGTGATAAATCATGGATTTATTCTATTTACAAATCTCTCTCTATTTTCAAGTCAAGCATGTCTAATTTGTGCAATATTATATATTATTTGGAGTTTTTGTGAAGTATGTGTTATTCGTGGAACATGAGAACTTCAGTTACAGGGTATCCCAAAGATAAATGTGCACCAGGCGGGGACATATGGCAGTGAGGCCAATATGAGTCACGTGCTGGGTACAATTTGTGAAGGATAACCAAGATTTGAAGGAATGATGTGATATGATTTGGATTGTGTAAATTTATATTATATTTTCTAGAGGGTGTAAAATGACATTGCTTGACTGGCATATTACATAATCTACTCACTGAGCGGTGGTTTGATCATCCCTCACCTATTTTGTTTTTCAGATTAATTAGTGGGCAAGACAAAAACGAAATCAAAGAAGTTGGATTTGTTTAGAGTGTAACTTTTATTTATATCTTGTACCCTTGTAAGATTATTATAATTTTTTTAAATATATAATGGTAATGTATTTTAACCAATTTTTTAGTCCTTTTATTTATTCCTTTCAATTCACGCAACCTGATTCGGGAGTATTCCTTATTTTCGAATCGGGTCGTGACAAAAATAGACAAATCGAAAATCGTTTAAACATCTAATTGTGTCATACAAAATCAATTAACACAGTACTTCAAGAAAGTACTTAAATTTCAATAATTTAATTGAGTGGTCAAATGATATCGGATTCAAGTGATTTTTTGTAGAGATGAACTTTGAATGAATATCTACAAAATAGACTGTTTGGATTAGTTAAATACAATCTAAAGTAGACCCTACAAATGTGTCCCTCAAATAATCCCTCATTGGAAGCTTTATTAGTATTTAGGTGGGATATTATAATTTGATGTGGAGGGTGGCTTCTTGCCTATTACAGTGGAGATTGATTACTTTCTAGTTGTATCCAATGTGACCTTGATATAACCAACACTTTTGATTAATGCAATCTCACTAAGGCCCAGTTTGGGTTTTTTTTTTTTCTTTTTTTTTTCTTTTTGTCAAAACCTACTTCACTTTAAAGTTAAGCAGTTTAAGGTGTTTGGTAAAAATAAAATATCCCAATTATTTTAAAAGCAATGGGCTTTTGACTACAGCTTTTAAAAAGCAAACTTTGGGCTGCTTTTCAAAGCTACTTTCAAAATAAGCAGAGATGATCATGTAATGAATTTTTTTATTCTCAAATTACCATCATCAATTTTTTATCTCAACACCACCTCGACCTCCACATCCAACTCCACCCCCACCACCACCCACCACCGCCATCACATCCTCCTCCTCCTCCTTCGCCACCACCACCACCTCCTCCTCCACCTCCACCTCCACCTCCTTCACCATCACCTCCACCTCCATCTCTTTCACCACCACCTCCACCAATACCACCACCACCACTACCACCACATGATTAATGCATAACACTTTCAACATCATGTTTATTTTAGTCATTATTCACAATTACAACAGTTTTATATTAAACGTGGAGCTCCTTTACTTTACATCTAATTATTTTCAAAGCACAGTAAGAGCAACTTTTTTAAAGAGTGACAACAATCCCAAACTAGCCCTAAAAGGTGTGTAATCAAGAGCATATATTTTAAGTATTTAACACAAAACACACGCACACTAACAACTAGGCAGTGGTTTTCTTATTCACCACCCTACAGTTTTTCCTGATTTCTCCATTGCTTCCTGTGAGCACACCAATATTGGCCATATTCACCATTGATGCCCCAAAGTCCCTGTAAAACAGAAAAGGTAATTTGCTGTAGCCAAAAACCATTGAAGCAGTTCTATTGTTCCCCATAAGCACTTGATCTGACTGTAGAAGTCCAGAATTGTTTACAAGGTTCTTGAAGTATATATTGTCAAACTTGGTTGAAGTGACAGGATCCAGAGGAGCCAATTGAGTGTCAGAGTCTGCTTGATTTGGGCACAAACTTTGCAGATTTTGTAAAAGTGATGCGTCCAATGTTGGGTCAGGCTTGCCAGACTCACCAAAGTTGAAGAGTCTTGTCTTGAACGTGAAGCATTGAGCAAAGCCGATGGTATGTGCACCTGCATAAAGACATAAAGCCCACACATATATGGCTCATTAACCTTTGTAATTAGCAGCCAAAATTTTATTTTGTTTAGTATGATGGATTCATAACAAATCTGAAAACCCTTTTAGGAAAATATGAACCCGTCCAAGAATTATGAAAGTGCTATTATTGAATAAGAATTCTCGTATTAAGTGTGTCGTCGTGAACCCGTTAAATTTCTAAACCGTTACAAATAAGGGTGTGATAAGTTTTCAAACGTGAGAAGTTGAAATGAGATAGGAAGCAAACCTGAGAGCACAACCAAATCCTTTATGTCAAGGCCTTTTGCTGTAAATTTTGCAGTGATGTTCTCCAAGGGCTCAAAGGGTGATGGTAACTGTTCATTAACTGCATTTTGACTTGCTGTTGTGCTATCTCGACGACCCAAGGGTACAGGCCAATATGGCCCTCCACTCTGACCAAAAAAACAAGATAAATGATGTAGAAATTTAAATTACTTGGGGTTATTTCAGAGATTAATTAAATGATTCATTTCATAAATCTCTGCATAGTAAATTAAGGAGCTAGCTTCTTACAAAATAAACAGCTGCTCTTGACACAAGAGTGATTATGTCAGTACAAGAAACAGTGGATGGGCAAGCTTCCTCCACAGTTGACTTGATTGTGTCAATCACCTCAAAACCTCTGACTGAATTTTTGTTGCCCGGTGCATTTTTCTCCCCATTAAGACTGCCGGTATCATCAAGCAACAAAGATGCATCACATCCCTGCTTCCCCACAAAATCAAACCAAGTAGTCAATAAACCAGAGCTAATCAAATTAGCAAACAATCTCGTTCTTTTTAACAATTCGGTATTCTAAACTAATCTAAATTTTGTGGAGGGAGATTCAAATTTGGCTGCAAGGGGCATGCACATTGCCTTGACCAACTGAACATCTTCAGAAAATAGTCAGAAATTAAGTACAAGGTCCTCGAATTATAATAGCTTTAACTTTTATAAAATTGTATACAAGAAATAGGGTTGGGATATTTTGTTAATGATTATAGTTAGACAAACACAAGTATTTAGATGTAGTAAATATATAAGAAATGAGTGAAGACAAGCTAATTACATTAACAAAGCAATCATGGAAGTGAAGCCTCAAAAGTGAGGCTGCAATTCTAGAATCCTTTGCAATAGCTGACCAAACGCCAGATTGAACAATCCTGGTCAGGTTGGGACAAGTGGCATCATAGAATCTATAATCAAGCTGACAGGACACAAGAGGGCTGAGGAACAAGAGGCAAAACAAGGTAACAACACAGAATTTATGCTCCATTTCTTGCAGAGTAGCAAAGTAGAAGCAGCACCATATTTATACACAGAGGGAGACAGTCGAAGACTCAGAGGAAAGTGCATGAAGTTGTGCAGATGCAGTTAATTATGTTATCTGGGAGAGTGGCAGAGGCACTAACTGGAGTTGTCTTATTCAATTGAGTTTGGTCTAATTGCATTTGGGTTATTATCGGATTATTAAGAAGTATGGAGCAGCCACTCGACATGGATTAAATTAATTAATTATTTTTAACAAGCGATTAGGATGATGTATTTTAGTTCCTGGAAAAGGGACACTAGCTAGCGTACTCTCAAGTTGACTTTAGTCTTAGGGTAGGGTAGGAGTTGGAGCGCATTTTAACATGAAGGAAATCAAATTTATTTGTCGAAGCGCATTTATATATATATATATTCATAGATAGATATTTTCTATCAACTAGTGGAAAGAAGCATAAGCATGCACAGTATAATGGGAGCTAGTAAAATGGATCTATCAAGGCCTTAGTTGAGATCATGAAGTCAAGCCGGCAAATGGGGTTAGACTTTTGTCACCTTGAGGAGCAAGTATCACTAATATGCAAGTGGGAAATGCAGAGGAGATTTACAAGTTGGGACAATTCAATGCATGTGTTTGTGTGTACTTCTTGCCTGTGTGGGTGTGTTGAAATACTTTGAATTGAGGGTACAATTACAGAAATTTGAATTCGGGATCTCTCCTTATTTTAAGACGCTATATATATTTTTAGTAATACTTAAATTTTATAATGTGAGATATACACTTAACAAAATGATCAACCAATAAAGGTCGGATGAAGTTCTTCGAATCTTGAACTATATTCTACATGATTCTTTTTACGCAAGAATTCTTTAGAAAATTTTCAAATCCCCTGTAGTTTTGATTGTATTTTGTGGACGGGGGAGTGGCCAATCTCCACACACATAGTTCAGCGAGTAGCTATGTATGAGTATGAAGGTATATTTCCTTCCTTTTTTTTTCTTTTTTTTTTCTTGAAAAATTTGAAGTCCAATGTAGAATATGTTGGCTTTGCCTTGAGAACATCTAAAGCCTTAGCAAAAATCAGTGAAGGTGAAGAAAGCTTGTATGGTTGGTTTTGTTGTAGAAGGAAAGCACAAATCACGCAAGACCAGTGCAAGACGCAATTCAAAGTAACTAACTAATACTCAATTGTACGTTACAAAAATAACAAGAAACTTCTGTGAACAGAGATCAAAGGATTACAATGAAATTGTTTGTGATAAATTACAATGGATTTGTTTGGATTAGGTTTACTTTTATTTTCTCTTCAAATTTGGGAGAAATTATGAAGGCGTGCTATATTTGGACACACGTGATATGCTGAGATTGAGCTAATCTTGCTTGATTTTGTTCACTGACTATTTTTTAGGTTTTGGCCGATTCATTTTTCAGGTCAAAAACTTGGATGCTTCAAGAATTAATCTAGGAATCCAAGATTGCACCAAGTCACATGTGTTACAGTGACATCGAAAAATTACTCTCTTATTGCAGAAAAACTTAGCTGCAACGGGGATAGCTATCTCCGGCCAATAATGCTATGTCAGGTGAAAGTATTATCACCCGTGTCATAGTGTTACTGATCGGGAATAGCAAAATAGTGTTATCTCCGTTTCAAATAAATCTTTCTCTCGAGTTGGACAAATTTTCAGCCAGACACATAGCGACCAAATCCCTAAATTGTAGACCATTTTCTTAGTAATAAAAGAGTTGCCAACATCACACTACTATCTTATTCCTCTTCTTTTCAAACTAGAAAACTAAACAGTATTGAAGAAAAGAACCTAAATACAGTACATTCCTGCTTAGCCATGTTGGCTTTGCCTTGAGAACATCTAAAGCCTTAGCAAAAATCAGTGAAGGTGAAGAAAGCTTGTATGGTTGGTTTTGTTGTAGAAGGAAAGCACAAATCACGCAAGACCAGTGCAAGACGCAATTCAAAGTAACTAACTAATACTCAATTGTACGTTACAAAAATAACAAGAAACTTCTGTGAACAGAGATCAAAGGATTACAATGAAATTGTTTGTGATAAATTACAATGGATTTGTTTGGATTAGGTTTACTTTTATTTTCTCTTCAAATTTGGGAGAAATTATGAAGGCGTGCTATATTTGGACACACGTGATATGCTGAGATTGAGCTAATCTTGCTTGATTTTGTTCACTGACTATTTTTTAGGTTTTGGCCGATTCATTTTTCAGGTCAAAAACTTGGATGCTTCAAGAATTAATCTAGGAATCCAAGATTGCACCAAGTCACATGTGTTACAGTGACATCGAAAAATTACTCTCTTATTGCAGAAAAACTTAGCTGCAATGGCTATCTCCGGCCAATAATAATATGTCAGGTGAAAGTGTTATTACGCGCGTCACAGTGTTATTGACCGGGAATAGCAAAATAGTGTTATCTCCGTTTCAAATCAATCTTTCTCTCGAGTTGGACAAATTTTCAGCAAGACACATAGCGACCAAATCCCTAAATTGTAGACCATTTCCTTAGTAATAAAAGAGTAGCCAACATCACACTACTATCTTATTATTCTTCTTTTCAAACTAGAAAACTAAACAGTCTTTTTATATAAAAACAAAAAACAAAATACAGTACATTCCTGCTTAGCTTTTTAGTGATATATTGTAAGGAATGGGATTCTTGCAAGTTACAAGTAGCCCCCAATTAGATTTGGACTGCTGCTGATCATATGAGATACTCATCATGCCCCAAAACACAAGAATTTGGCCAAGAAACAAAATTAAATCAAAAGGGGTATTAAAAAATCATATTCATGTTAAATCCAATGTAATCAATAGGCAAGCTAGTCAAAGAAAACAAAAACAAAAACAAAAAGAAAAAGAAAAAAGGATAAAACTAGTACCAACATGAACTTATAAGCTTAATCTAATCCCATCTCATCTAACAGAGATTACAGAATAAGTAATCAAAGCAGGTCTCTGTGCAGTCATAAAAGCAGGAACAACTGCACTCACAAAACAAAATCCAAAAAAAATTATATAAAACAGTAAATCCAATTACAAATTTACAGAAGAAAACAATATAAAAGAAGAAATTAATTAATTGAATTATTACCAGTCATTGATGACTTTGTCCTGCTCATCTTCTCCTGCCTGAAAATTGTTGCTGGAAGTCTCTATGGCTTGTGCTGGTGGAGGTTCCATCTGTGTCTCTCTGAGCACTCTCTGGAGAGCTGCGGAGGAGAAGAGGATATAAATGTTCAAAATGGGTTCAAGTTTCAACCCCGTCAGAGCACTTTGTCATGGCTGCTTAAAAAAATAAATATGATTTATATGATGGTGCCAAAAAGGATTCGTCTTTTTCAGGAATTTTGGCAATAAATATTTCTTTCTTTATTTTGATTTTGACCATATGAGAGAGAGAGAGAGTCATCCAAATTTCAAAGGGCACCACTAGATAGAAAATGGTAAAAAGAAGGAGAAAATTAATGGTTTTTGGAGACTTGGAGTGGACCACTAATGGAAAATGTCAAATTGAGTTGATAGGGACTTTTTATCTGTGAAATTAAAGGTTGCTAATTGATATATTTACCATTGAAAATTCCTTTTGGAGACTTTCCACTCATAAGTGATTCTATGAATTATTATTATTTTTAGTATCGTAATTTAAGTGATTAAGAGTATTTATTCATGTATTCGAGGTCATAAGCTCGATTCTCTCTCCTTCATAATCATTATTCTTAGAAATGCTTTAATTGAAAGCATTTTAATTAGATACATAATAAATTTGTTATTAAAAATCAAATGTTTCCGAAAAATGAGCTTAATAAAAAGTGCCTCTATGTCACTAAAATCACTTTTGATAATCTGGAAAACATTTTCAACCCTTCAAAAATCCTGCCAAACAGGCTCGAAAATTAGACTTGTTAAAAGACAAACTTCTACTAGAAAAGTTGTCTTAAAATTTTTTCTTTATATTTTTGGGAATTTGAAAACGAATGTTTTCTCACACATTTTTGTCTTATATGCACGGGGGTTCCAATACAATTCCTCCTGGTATAAATGTAACCCTTTTTATTTTTTTGGTTTTGTTGAACTTTTTATTTAGCATCAGATAAATGTGCTGATGGCCTAATTAGAGAAAACCATTATTAAGTGCTGCACAGAACCAGATCTAGCAGTTGAGTTTGATTAGAGAAACCCGCATGGCATCAGTAGTTGTGCGTGTGAGAAACCCCTCCTCTCTAATTTTGACTATTGCTTGTACTAAAACAAAGCAGTTGAGTTTGATTTGAACTGCATCAACTTGACAAATATCAGTGTGAAATAAAATTTGCAAAATCATTTATTTTAGAGTAAAAACAACGTTTACTTTTTCTTTCTTTTGAAGGCCTTGTCGAAAGACTTCTTCTGCTGAAGCTCAAAAATAAGTTAGTGGCATACAAAAATTGCTTCTAAAGTCCCAGTGCAAGATAAACTTCCACACCACAAAAAAGGATGAGGGAAAGAATCTACAAGGGTAACACTCTATGCCTGCGAATCACCTACCAGAGCATCATCCGCTACGCCTACAATTCAGAAGCCGCTTTCTCTGCAGAAATATGAACAGAAAGGCAGCTATCGTTCCCTCTCCGCAAGTCATCTGAAAACAATATAGCTTTCGGTAGCGGGGATGTGGTATTTGAATTGCAAACTGAGATGGAGAAGATAATCCGGGAAGGTCCTCAAGGTTAACATGAGGCCACTGTTAAATTTGAAGTTTCATAAGGACATTGTTGGCCAGTTTACTGGAGAAAAAGAATTTTGCAAGAAGCTGGATCTGTCAGCATCCAAGACTTGGCAATCACCGAATTGGGAATGCACTGGTCTGGGGTCCAAGTATGCCCGGAATCATCAGTGACTGATCATATTTTCTTTCAAGTTCGACTGGACGGGGTTTATCCTGTAGCCATAACACAAATTGTAATACTAATAACTAGACTTTAATAAAAACAAGAGGGCTGGCATTTATATTTACCATGTAATTCATCCCATTAGATGCCTGGGTGACAGACGGGGTGACAGACTGGACATCCTGCGGCTGAGAGTTTTTTAAGAATCGATGTTCTAATAACATGGCAGCAGTTGGCCTCTCTGCAGGATTTCTTCGAAAGCAGCGTCTCAGGAAATCCTTACCCTCAGATGACAATGTTTCGGGAATTGGTGGAAGATCTTTCATAACTTTAAACATGGCTGCAGCCTGCATTAATAAAGTGTTTAGAAAACAGAGGGAGGGGTTTTAATGCAGTGCAGAAAATTATAAATGAACTTGAACTGGAATATACATTCACAATGCCAAGTGGAGAGGGAGATGAGCAAAGATACACTTACATGATCAGGTAAAAGCTAAAAGAAGTTTATGATTTTATCAAACTGTACATGATCAGGTAAAAGCATGCACTGGATCCCATTTTGTATCTTACAAGTTTCAACTATTTTGACCTCAAATTAGACCCAATGGAGTACACCTTCAAAGCACAAGATGAAACAGGTTTCATGGTTGAATACAGAAACTACATTATGTACTTACCCCTTCATACTCACTCCAAGGAGGTTTTCCGGTGAACATCTCAATAATAGTGCAACCCAAACTCCATATATCAACAGCAAGAGCCAGATCAGAGTTGTTATCTTTATGCATCACAGCTTGCATGAGCTGCAGGAAGAAAATTGTATCAGTATCTGAAGGCGCATAGCCCCTCTAAGCCACCACAGACTGATTAGCAAAAGATACCTCTGGAGCCATCCAGTATGGACTTCCCTTCAGAGAAAGATTCCCTACGTGTCCCGAAAGCTATGCAACAAATAAATTCAACTATGTAAGCCCAAGATCAGATAGTAAACAATGAATCACAGAAAGTGATATGGTGGCAACAACAGTAGAAACTAAACATTGCTTATGATGACAGTAATTATAAATAGCCACATGAAGAATGGTGACTCGCATGTATCAATGTGTAGAACCGCTAGATGACTAGATTCCAAAATCAGCTAGCTTGACAACCGCCAGATGACTAGATTCCAAAATCAGCTAGCTTGACAACCGCCAGATGACTAGATGTTTAATAAATCAAACAGCATTTCCACAATGTCAAGGAGAAAAAGGAGTGTGAAGAATGATAATCTAAAGAAAGGAATGAAGAAAGAACCAGAACTTACATGTTTTGCCATTCCAAAGTCAGCTAGCTTGACAACCCCACACGAATCGACAAGCAAATTAGCCCCTTTGATGTCCCTACCAACAGAAATAAAAAATAAAAAATCTATGAAACCTAGTTGACCCCGAGTACAATTGTATAGGCCTTTTCACTGAAAAAAATTCGTCCACATCTGACAATGACAAAATTTTTGGCTCAGGTGCATGAAATACTAATTTTTATTTGCTACATTGGATCTAGTCTCACATTCCATTTTTGCTGTGATTGTACCTGTGTATTGTCTTTGTGCTGTGCAAGTAAGCCAACCCAGAGAGTATATGGCGAGTGAAACTGCGAACAACAGCTTCCGTTATGGCTCCACAATGTTCATGGACATATTTGTTAATAGAACCGGGATGGACGTACTCCAGATATATATAAAATCGATCATCAACCTGCATACAAAAGAACACATATTGTGCTTTTTTAAGGAATACTCCAATGGATAAAACTGTGCCTGGATGCCTAAACATGCAAGTGCCACATTACTCACTATTTCACTTCCATAGTACTGCACAATATTAGGATGCTTCAGCTGGCTGAGAACTTTGATTTCCTGAAATAAGAATAAATGAGTAGGAAGTACACTGATAACCTGACATAATATATAACTCATAAACTCAACACATTCGCAGAACCACCAAACCAGAGATTCAGAGTCCATCAAAATAGATTCCATGGAAAAATTATTCTGCCACCATCCCAGCCCACAAAAGTTAACTTTAGTTTTCAAGTGTCTAATTAATTATATAAACGAAAATATAAGTTCAGATATCCAATAGGCTGAAAGTAGCCATACTGCCTCCTGATACAGTGGTACTCCTGAGGTTCAACAGGTAATTTAGGAAAAAGTGATGTCAAACAGAAAAATCCAGGATAGCTAAATCTACAAGAGGGGTGGGAGGAAGTAAAAAGCTTATCTATACATATCAATAATAACCTGCTGTAGCTGCTTTATACATTCTGCAGATTTTGGGTCATCAGGAAATAATTCAACTTCCTTCATTGCACATAAAGCTCCAGTTTCTCTGTTACAACATAAAAACCCTGATCAGCATTTAGAAAGACAAAGAGAAACTATCATTAACAGTGTATGGAACTGTATATACCTATTGGTAGCAACATAAACACTTCCAAACGTGCCACGCCCAATTAGCTTTCCCTTTATCCATTGTCCTTTGACTGGCTGGGACTCTGGTTTGGGTGTGAGTAGAGCTTGTGGCGAAGGTAGGCTAAGGCTTGCTCCAGGAGGCAAAGGCAATGGATGGACTTCACCATAACCATTACCCTCGCGCCGGGATGTGGAGACTTCAATTGATAATTTGGTATGCAATGGTGATGTTGAGCCTGGTGGGCTTCTGGGGTTTCGGCAGGGACTTCTATTTGAAGGACTGTGTACAGGGGAATTATCATTGCTAACTATAGAGTAATCTGAGAAGGCAGGGGGAGGGAGCCCGGGATTCATATCGGAAGTGGGGATCTCGGGGGTATACCAGACTTGATTTCCCATAGGATTGATGTGAGGGAGCAGATCACCAGCACTGCGTCTGTGCGGGCTGAGTGTAGGACTTGAGAAAGGACTAGCAGGAGCGCTCCGAATAGGAACATCAAGCCTGAAGTCTTTTTGATAGATCTCTAAACCATTCCTATCTCGATTCTTCCTCCTAGACCTTGATCTTGTCTCGAATGCATGGTCATTATTCTTTCTTGTGTCTCGGGAAGCAAACACACTGAAAATGCAAAAACTAGATGTCAACACAGAAGTCATACTTTAAGTATTAGCATATGTATGTATAAATTAAAGGAAATTCAAAAACCAAATCTGCAACAAAGAATATCTGACAGACATGGATATGTTAGTGCATTCAAATTCACAAATCCTCAATCTTTTTTTCTCCACCTAAATAATTCAAGCATGTCATTAATCCATTAAATGTTTGAATGTTTTTCTCTAAGAACTAGCAATAGGAATTGAAATAAGCCCTTATGCGACCATTTCGAAAGATAACAAAATAAAATGAATCAAACCACAACACAAAATATGAAAATCAAAGAAGAGAATCACAAAAATTGTACCTCTGATTCGGAGTGTTCAAGGCGGCACCGTCACCGGCCTTGGGAGACGGCAATCGACTGTCTCCAATATCACCGGAATTGCAACCCGAGCCCCTCTCTTTCCGGCACCTCTCTTTCGCCAATTCCGGCAAAGGAAGCGGCTGCGGAGTCGCCAGCGACGATGCAATTTCAGGCAACGGCGAACTCGGACATTTGTTCATGGCTCCACCTCCACCGTCTTGGTCTCCGCCGCCGCTGATCAAAAGCTGCTTCCTCTGTCGCGTGAGCTTCCTCCTCGATCGGAACATCCATCCTCCGTCATCGCTCGCCTTCTGTTTTGGCGACTCGGCGGACGATGATCTGAACACCGACGACGACGAAGAAGGGGACGACGAGGAGGAAGAAGAGAAGGAAATGTTAGACAACCAACCCATGGTCGAAATCACTCATGATCACAATCACAAACCCAAACGAATTGAATTTTGATGAATTATGGCGCAGGAGGTGAGATGAGGAAATTGGCGGGAAGGAGGCGGCCTAGGAGGTCCAGGAGAAGATCCATGAGGGATCTTGCTCGAGAGACCAGGCCATGAGAGAAGAACTAGTGCCTCTGCCTGAGACGGTGGCGTTCGTTAATTCGCTTACCTTTTTCGTTTTTCACAATAACGCGGTTTGCAATTACTACTACAACAAACGTATAAAGCTGTCTCGAGAGGTCAATATTCTTATGCCTATGTTTTCTCTCTAACCATGTTTGAAAGCCGTTATTTCTGTTTATATTACAATTTTAAATTAATTCATTAATTAATAACACGAAATCAATCAACTGGATAATTTTCAAGCTAAAATATATAAATATAGAATCCGCGACATTATCAATTTCTGTTTTCGCGGATGATGTGGATAACTATGGGGTTTAGTTAAATTCACCAACTGAAAACACATAATTGCTTTTTGTAACTAAACATCTTTCTAATAGAATTGGATCATAGCAGTGTACATGGGACTCACTTATATTAGAGAGGTGGTCAACAATGCGGGTCAGTAAATGTGATCCAAATAGCAACACCCTAACTATAATGCATTACATCAGTTGCCAGTAGTTAATATTTTTTAATCAACAATAAGGGGAGATTTGAACTTTGAATTTCTTCTAACATTAGAAGAGAATACGAAACTTGGGTTGGAGAAAATAAATAAATTTAATATGCATAAATAACATAATAAGAAAACTTGGCATGAAAAAAAGAAGTTTGAAGAATATGGAAAATGTGATACATAGATGCCATATGATTGTTAGTGTAGTGTTGAGAAGCTTTTTAGTTATTGACATCGCAATCCATCCAAAAGTGGACGTCAATTTTCAACATCCACCTACATTCAATTGAAACTTTACTAATGTTAATATGGTCAAGATATGGTAGATTTGATAAACATCAAAAAGCAGAGTGGCAGAAAAAGGAGGGAACGTGTTGACTTAGAATGGAATGGTGGGTTGGTAAAATTCACTAGCATTACATCCATTGAATTGTTATATAATTGTTCAATTCCATGGCATGATCTGTGTCCCTGTCACCCCCATCATCCTATGTGAACACATGTGAAATCTCTCTTATATTACTCTGGAGAAACACATGTAACCGGGGGGTGTATACGATTTAGTCTGTCTCTCTCCTCAAATATCATGTGACGAGAAAAAATGGACAACGACAGACAAGAGGCCAAAACTCAATTGCATTGCAGGTAAGTTTACTCGGGTCGTCACTAAAAATTCCAGGCATATGAACGTAGGAAATTATTCACACCAGCTATCAAGCTGGAAAAATGAACAGGAAGGAACAATCCAAATTCTAGAGACTGTGATGTAACTTGTAAGCACAAAATAACAGAATAAATCTTATATACTTTTACTGTGAGATTATAAGCGGGGGAAAGATGAAACAAAATAACAAATATAGCTCGTGTATGCTGTAAACTTCTGTTAACCACTTCACTGAAGCTAAAGCTATATGCATGAAAATTCTGAGAGATGATAACAGCACATGATATAACAAACACTGATTCTATTCAGAGTGCTACAAGAAAATTCAGCTTGTCTGATTATGTTCTAAACAACAATGACAATTCTTTTTCAACTTGGGAATCACACGGCACATACCACCAGCTCAATCAGTAGCCTTAGGAAAAATCAAGACTTATTGAACTTCTTTCTTCTCCTCGTGATTCAAGCTACCAAATGCAGGAAAGCCGTAAAATTGTGCATCAGTGCCTAAACTCCTGCAGATTCTGGGTTCTCCAACTTTGTTGCGACTATCTTACATATGGGCATGGTTTCGTTCTTACTTAGAAGCTTCATGGATGGATGAACCTCAACATCAGGGATGAACACCCTATCGCCTATATCTAGCTTGCTGACATCAACCTCAATTTTGGGAGGAATGTGTTCAGCTGGGCAAAGGTACTTTAGACTAGTTCTAATTTTGTTCAGATGACCACCTGTTTTGGCAGAACAAGTCATAATCAGTGTACAAACTACATAGTCAATTATGCCCAACAATAATCAATCTTGAATGAACTTCTGTCAGATGCTTGAAAAATTAAATACATGGCAGTCGTACTCTCGCAATGTGAATGTTGTACTCAGAATAATCGGTGCATATGGAAAACATACACGAAATAAAGGCAGTGACGACACAATGTGTAAAACAGGAACTCCAGTAATGATAAGCATTTACACATGTATACTTTAAACAATAACAACGGCAACAATGGTAGCTGCAGTAGCTTCATTTTGTTGGTTTTCAACAAGTAACAGCTAAGGATACACAGATTATAAAAGGAACAGCATGAGCTGAAGCAATGTACCACAGCCATGGCCAAATAAGTATCCAACTTCATTATGTATGGTTTTAGGTTTTAGGATAGAATGCACAACAAAAACTTGAAGGATAGAATGCACAACAAAAGCTTGAAGGATTGATCAGCATCTACAGGATATGACAAAATTGAAACGTTTTTGTTAATGTGAAAATTGGGTGCGCACACAGAAAACATAGTGTTTTAAAAAGCAAAGAAATTACCTTTTTTGAGACCAGGGCAATCATCTTCTCTTTTCAGCCAAACCCTGTCAGATCCTCTCTTCCCTTGCCTTAAAAACTCTGTTTCTCATAGGAAATCACAGCTCTTTCTCTCTCTCTCTCTCTCATGCTAAACTCGCGAATGCTCAGCTCCCATGCCACAAGCTTCTCATGCCAAGCCAAGAATTGATCTGCAAGCAATTGTCTTTTTGTTGGTTAAGATAACCAGGGTGCTTCATAAGGCTTCGCTACCCTTTCGAAGCATTCTTGGGGTCTGATTCTTGAACTCAGACACAAGGGGCGATTCCAGCCATTTGCTCTTTACAGCAGCCCATGCCCACTCGTCAAGCTGCTGGAACGAAAAAGCCCCTACAGGTTGGAGAGAGAGGAAGAAGAAGATGGATATAGACAGATAAACAAGTCAAAAATGAGATGTGCAGTGCAGGTAGGGACGAAGAGGAAAAATTGAAGAAAAAGAGGAGATGTTTGATGGGTCTCAGTTGGGTATCCAGGTTTTGTTTTACCCGTTTGTATGTGAAACCTATTAAAACCATGTTTTAATCTCAATCGTTCAATTTTTATTATGTTTTTTTTGAGTAAAAAGGGGATTCATTAATCAGTCAATACGAAGACCGGCATGGATAACAGTGGCCTCATTAAAGGATCCGGATCCTCTGCTCTGATTTTCTCTGCCATGATCTGCTATACTTTTGTTCTCCATACGCCACATCATTAAAATTTAATCTAACGGATTTAAAAGTTGACACATCAAAAACTCAATTTACTCATAATTAAAAAAGAATAAAAAAACCCTAACACCCAACTAACTATAGTTAACGTCCTAAATCCTCTTTTTTTCTTTTTTTTTTTCTCCTTCTTGCTTCGTTCTATCCTCCAGCTTTTTTTTTTCTCTTCTCCTTATTCACGTTCTGTTCTTCTTTTTTTTTTTTTTCCTCCTTCTTATTCACTTTATGTTCTGTTTTTTTATTATTTATTTATCTCTTGTTGTCATTTTCTCCTTTTTTTCTCTCCTTGCATAAACTATCATGCCATCATCTAGCTAACTAGAGTGCTAAAGAGAAAAGAAAAGATGTAGGAAATAGAATCGAAGAAGTATTTATAATCTCCATTAAAAAGACAAGGTTTATAATCTTCCCATCAAATAAATGACAAACATTGTATTCATCCAACATTGAATCCCAAGCAACTAAGAACTCATCTTCCTCCTCATAGTAATCCATAAATTGTGTTAAAACGCTCCTAACTCCACATGTGCACCTAAATAAACTGTTTACATGTTTCATGGCATTTTGCATTATGTGCCATGTGCAAAGCCTGTGATATGTATCAGGCATCACATGTGCACAAGCCTTAGCCATCGCAGCATCTTGATCAGTAAATAAGGTTTTTGGGGCCTTCTTGGACATGACCTCTAAAAATGTTTCAAACAACCATATAAATGAATTGGCAGTCTCATCGTACAACAATGCTGCCCCAAAAATGGCAATCTCACGATGATGATTAAATCCCACAAACACTCTGAATGGACGATTTGCTTCATTAGTTTTGTACGTGGTGTCAAAACACACAAAATCACCAAATTGACCATAATCAACAATCATCTTCGCATCAGCCCAAAATATATTCGTAATTTGCTCATCACAATCTAATTGCACAGCATAAAAAAATGAGGGGTTTTCCAATGCTTCATTCTGAAAATACTTTAGTAAGCTTCCAGCTTCTCCATATGCCAATTTTCTTTGCCTCTTTGTCCGAAGGTAATTTTTTTGATCTTGTTTGATATATCCAAGAGATTCTCTTCCACCAACTTGCCTACCCATTAACTCATATGCCTGCCTAAGTGGAATCCCAAATTCTTCTGTCAAATCCTCAACTGACTTGAGAATGGCCTGAATCTGCTTCCTCTCGGTGGTCAACAAGTGCTTTTTGGAGACCGATCGAACGGTGGTGGTGCTAGGGTTTAGCTCCTGCGAGAACACGACGGCTGGAATTCGACCCTGGGCTCGGTCTTTGACGGAGACTCTGTTCCCTGTGCATTCCCTCGGAATGGCTTGGATTGTGTGATACAGAGCCGAAAAGGATTGAAATGGAGCTTGTTGTGGCGAGCTAGGGTTTTGCAGAACCGCGCGGAGGCTGCCGCCGGCTGAGCGCCACCGATTGGCCATACTTTTCCTTTTCGGTTGTTGTTCCTCATGTTGTTTGAGTCAATTCCTCTGTGTACTATAAACACACCAGTAGTTAATATATATATTCATCTGGATGATCCTTTGTTAATGTGTTATGTAGTAAACAAACCAAAAACCATGCTAAAAAAACACCATCTGGGTGATCCTTTGTGAAGTCTTACCCTTTGAACAACAATCAAAGAGAGGAGCAGAGAAGACTAAGTAGGTTGACTAATGGGTGGCTGACCATTAGTTGGATCCAAAAATATTACTGCCATGGCCAGTCGTTCAATTCCGTGACATGCAAGCAATGCGGATGCCACCAAAAAAATATATTGTGGTCTTAAATACAACTCCGATTTTCTGCCTCCACGGAATGTTGGTTTAAAGAATCTTGAAACTTGCGATCCCCTGTTTCTTTTCCCTTATTATCTTCTTAGCCTGCATTTTCTTTTTCTTCGAAATCAACCACGTCATAC